GAATTACTCATATTGCTTAAATACCTTCTTAAATTTTGTTAAATGATAACTAATTTTTTTTTGTCTAAAGTACCAGATATTTAAATTTCACAATAACCCACTGAATTAGACTTAATAATATTTCCATTTAATAGACGGAGAAACTGAAGCAGAGCAGAGTTAAGTTACTTAGCTCGGGTTACACAGTAAGTGGCAAAATTGAGACAGAGACTCCTCAGAGCCCAGGCTCTTAACCACTAACTAAAAATAAATAAGTAAGAGTAATAATAATAGCAAACCATATATTATGTTTTAGATATCATTCCATCCTTATATACATGGATTTTTTAAGCCTCACAATAATCCTATAAAGTAGGCTACTGTGATTAATTTCACTGTATAGATGAAGAAACTGAGTCACAGAGAGGTTAAGTAACTTGCCCAAAGACACACAGCTTGGCAATACACCAGGGTTCACACTCATAACGATATCCTATCTTCAAGGGAAACCTAATACTCTAATAGGAACTAAAAATATGTTCTCCAGTTGGCATGCTCAATAAACTAAAAGCCATCAGTTTATGTCACAAACTATACAACTACCATTTACTATAAATAATTTTGTCTAACCCAAATTTTATGAATCTTGAAAGATGTGTAAACATAGAAAACAAAGTTCTGAAGAAATTGTTTAAAGTCAGGACAGCCATAAAAGTGATCCAACAACTTGAAAAAGGATGTTCAGACTGTGATATTTATAAAATTAACCATTTCTCAAAGGCTGCCATTCTTTTTTCTGACAACTTACCAATATTAGGTGGAATTTCACATAATAATGTTGTAAAATCAGATCTAAGTCTGTCAATTGCACATTCTGAGCCACAAACTAATATAGTTGAATTTTGTGGATTAAACCCAGTGCCTGTCACAGTCATGGTTTGACCACCGCCAAAACTCCCTAGTGAAGACAAATAAAAGGGAAAAGCTAATTAAAAGACAATATCCTCTGTGTATATATTTGTTTAACTTAACTTCAAAATCTGAAATGGATATAAGTTACATTAAATAAAAAGATTCATAGAACTGAAATTATATTATGTCACTATATAAATGCAATGGAATCTCTTGATTGTAGCATTTAAAAATCTTTCCTGAGTAAATGTCATATTTGGTATTGTAGTTAAACTATTTCTAGGAAGTAAAATTTTATTTAAAAGAGATATCACAAAGAATTTCAGAGCATCAAAAAATACATGAAAATTGCTATTTTAATTAAGAATAGTATTGGTTATAGTTTCTTAAGGTTTTTAACCATTAAAATAATTTTCAAATAGAAAAAAATACTAATTTATGTAGAAACAATTACAGTCATGTCTAAACATGATATAAGAAAAAATTTCCACATGTAACCTGGTCATTTTAAGTAGGGTTACATTTTAAATAATTATACACCACTAAGAGAAATATAAGGCATTAAATTAATATTTTGAAATGATTAATACTNATTAATGTTTTATAAGAACTATAAATTTAGCAGTGTTTGAAGAACATATTTTTTTCCTAAATAATATATGTTTACTGAAATAATATAAAATATTTGTAGGTTCCTGCATATTCATGACTACCTTGGCTTGGGTGAATATCTTGAATATTAAGTGGGTACTCAAATACAACTGTGGACACTGCAGAGCCCTTTGTCATATGATGCATCATAACAGGGAAAGTGCCACCAGTCTGATCTCCAACAATACACCGCAGCACACTGTCATTGACCATGGTTACATTACACCAAATGTTACTTATCATCACGGAAATTTCCAAGATATCAATTCCAAAGTTAGATCCAGTGATCTCAATTTCAGTTCCTGGTGCACCTTAAAAAAAAAAAAAAAGCAAACAATATAAACGTATCTAAATTCCAATACCTACACATGCATTTATCTCTTTACTTCAATAAATAAAATAATATCCAGTGTTTTTAAACTAATATGAATATTAACCATACATGTCTATCATATATTTTTTGACTATAATATACACTACAGTCTACTATATATTAACCAGAAGTGATTTTATCAATGTTTATTTTCTAGCCCTTTTGTCTGTTCTACTGAGTCATAAGTTACTAATGCAGGCTAGCAGGAAAAATAGGAAGAGAGAAGAGAAAAGATCTAGAGTTAGAAAGTATGAATATCTGAGCAGGGTATGGTGAGTTGGAGTATATTTTTGAAATGAGGCATATTATTTTTTATTTTTGGTACTTTTTTCCTGACATTAGCAACTCTTTTGAGAATAGACTATTTTTCTTAATTCAAATATTTATTAGATATAACTTGATAAACAAAGTATGATACATAAATAATTAGGTATAAGATAGTAAATACAGAAAAAATGAATTAATTTAAAGACATAGGTGAATTTTGATGTTAATGCCTTGAATGAATGTACATAGAACAAAGTATTTCT